AAGACAAGCTTTATTTTTTTTTCGATATCACATATTTTGGGTACTTTCTTTCCTTTTTACTCTTCCCCTCCTTTTATTTCTTTTTCTTTCTTTCTTCCTTTCTTATTTATAGAAACCACAGTCGCTTGTGTATGTTATTATGCCATGATACCAAATACTTCTAATTCTGAACTACTGCTATGTTACTTTTCATGTGTAGCTTCTTATAGGAGCAAGCTGCTTGCCTCATGTGTTGCTATGCAACATTTCTGAAAGATGATTTTTTGTGGGAATGTATATCATAGGATGGAATGATTGCCTGTTCATCTCATTCATTTATTCTGTCACCATTGACTCACTCTTAGGAGCCGTCTTTGGGTTGTAGTTTACTTAACCACAACCACACTTGAAAAATAGCCTTTGTTTTTTATGTCTGGTTATTAACATAATACCTGTTCATTTTAGGAAATTTAGAAAATACCAAAAGCACATAGGGAAAAATTACATTCTCCCATAACGCTACTAGCCAGAGGATGTTTCTTTTCTGTGCACATACATGCATATATATTTGATTATTGATATTATCTCATATTTTGGATTATACTATATAATTTTTAACCTATTTTTGTCCACTTAAACACAGAACATTGACATATTACCATGCTACTCTTTTATTACCGCAGTGGCTTTCAATTTATTTTCTTTCTATATCCTGCAGTAAAAAAATACATTTTATATAATGACCTAGTATAAATGTACATGCATTTTACAGTTTCATGAAACCATACTTATACTTACTATTTGTAATATACTCTGATATTTTCTCTTCTTCTGTTTAAAAAGCTGGCCATGACCCACTAAAATTGGTGTCATGATTCCTTAATGATTTGTGACCCACAGTTTGAAAACTACTCCTTTACCACATGAATATGATTGGTTGTGGAGTGTTCATTGTATGGTGTGGGTGTGTTATAATGTATTTAACTGATGCCGTGCAGGTGTACATTTACATGACTATCAGTGTTTCCCTAGTCGTAAAAGATTGCAGTGAACAAATGGGTACAGAAAACACACACACACACACACATGCACACACACACATGCACACACTTTTTAGGATAAGTTCCTGGGCATACATTGGCATGTAATTACTGGGTCAAAAGGTGAGCGGTGAGCATGATTTTAAAGCTTTTGGTACACTTTGCTCAATTTCCCTCCAGGAAGCTTATAGAAATATTTACACTTTCGCCAGCTGTGTCTGGGGATGGCTGGTTCTCCCTGCACTCACACATAAAAGACCGCATTCTTTGAGTTCCCTTAGAATCTCAATCACAGGTGAAATTCACGGCCTCACTCAACAGGGAGGGGAGAAATGTCTCGGCAGAGGTTGGTCGGATCTACGACTGGAGATTGCTATTGTGTCTAAATTGTATTATGTTAATGTCCCGTGCAACATGCTGTGCAGGTGAGGTTTAACATTTCTATTTCTCATGTATGCCTCCAAAAAGAAATTCTTATTTTAAACAGTGCACGATGTATTTTAGATCCCATCTATCTTTCCATTGTCTGTGGCCGTGGGTCCTCTGATTCTCTCAGAAGGAGGACGGATGCAGGAACCGTGCATTGCACAATTTTCAGGACAGACTTCATTTCCACTGCTCACGTTCTCTCTAGGTCCACTTAGATTTCTTATTGGTACCTTTACTTTTGAGTTGGAGGGTACCATCTATGTAAGAACACGTACATACCATGGTTAGAACAATCCTACCTTCCGTTCAGTTTGCAGAAATCTCAGTTGTCTAGCAAAAAGGCATATGCAAATTGTGTTTTATTTTTCAATGGCTAAAGATTGGAAACTGCCTCAGTATATATCAGTATGAGACTGGTTAAATAAATTATGGCATGTCCACAGAAGGGCTGCAATGCACTGTTCCAAAGAATGGGACAGCACTGTGCTTATAGGCATGAAGCGATCTCCGGGGTCTATTGTGGATGACAAAACCAGGGCGCAGAGCAGAGAGTGGTGTAAATCCTTTACACCGTGAACTTCTCTTTTTAAAAAATCGTATGAGTGTATTACTTCAATTGAAAATAGGTAATGGAGGGGCCGGCTCCGTGGCCGACTGGTTAAATTCCTGTGCTCTGCTTCAGCAGCCCGGGTTTTCACCAGTGTGGATCCCGGGCGCAGACACGGCACCGTTGATCAAGCCATGCTGAGACGGTGTCGCACGTAGCAGGACTAGAGGGACCTACAGCTAGAGTATACAACTATGTACTGGGGGTCTTTGGGGAGAGGAAGAAGGGAAAAAACAAGATTGGCAAGAGATGTCAGCTCAGGTGCCAATATTTAAAAAAAAAGTAAAAAAAATAAAAAATAGGTAATGGAAAAGAGTGAGGATTTGTAAGCGTCTAAGATATTTTAGCAAAAACGTCCACCAGAAAAACTCAATTGTCTAATGTTGATACTGTGTTGGTTTTGCTTGAGAATTGTGTGCTGAGCTCTCCCAGGGTGGAGGGAATCCTTGGGGATCAAATAGGCACTTGGAAAGAGTTCACCTCTGAGAATGTCCACTTCCGCCCTGTCTACACCTAGGGAGAACCTGCGTCATTCAATCAGACTTAATCCATTTAGAGGCAGCCTCTTCAAAGCTGAGTTATGCCAGTCGGTACATCTCATGACTAGAATTATGATCGGCTTCTAGGGTTGCTGATCATTCAAGTGTTTTATGGAAGACTAAAACTGGGGAAAAACACATGCACGCACACACACACCCATGCACACACTTTAAAACGATAAAGTCAGTATTTATGACTTCAGCATTATGGACCTCGTGGAAGAGCTGGGGTGGGCTTGAAGAGAGAGGGTTTGGCTCAGCGTGGAGACCCTGGAAATGTGTATTAGATGCTTCACACCACTTGTCACCTGTGTTTAATCCTACTCTTCTATTCTGATTGGATTTTGAGTAGGTTTATGTTCAGGTTTTAGCGTCATTCTGACCCAGGCTCAAATCTCAGATCTGCTAAATCCTAACTCTGTGACCTTGGGCTAATTGCTTGGCTTCTCTGAACTTTATTTTTTGATCTTGCAAAGTGGAAAGTGTAATACCTTTGCTATAAGGCTGTTGGTTGGGTTAAGGGAGATAAATTATATAAAGTGCCTAGCCTGATGGCAGCCCCTTGGTAGATACTGATTAATTGATAACTGTGTCTCGTTATGATGATGTTCTGGGAAGAGAGGCCTTCTGTTAGGAAGGTGTTAGTGGGAATTAAAGAAGATCTCTGCAAGGCTGGGAGGGCGAGAGCAACAACACTTTCAGGAACAAAGAATCAGAGACCCAGTGGGGAAAGCAGCTGTACAAACCAAGATTCCAGAAGAATTTCTCACATCTCTTTCTCAGTAATGATAATTAAATTTAAAATCCTTAAAATGTCCTATGGAGTTTGGGGGGGCATCAAGGAAGAATCTGGAGAGATGGGGCCCCACTGAGGAGCCAGGCTGGGAGCAGCAAATCAAGGAATTCAGCGGGGACAATAGGAGTTCATTTCTGGGACCTCCCTGAAAAAGTATCGGGAAACAGTGCTTGGAAAATGACCCCAGACATCTAATGGTTTGAAAATTCTGTGGTTTCTTTTATTGGCCACAACTTCTGTACGTATGCATATCAGCCCTCCCAAATCCCAGGCTTCCTATACACTTCATAGCACTCCTGCCTCATTCTGATCCAGGAGATGCAGAAGGCATGGAACACATTCAGCTTCCCTCGTGGTGCCAGGAGTCCCATCCCATCCTCGTTTGATGAAGTGTAGTTCGGTTTAACAACACTGCCCGGGCAGACAGGGAGGCAATAGAAAGAAAGTTCCTTTCTGGGATTTCAAACCCAGAGACAGATTTCCAAGTACAAATTAGGGATGCCTCGTATTGTAAGAGACTTGAAGCCTCAGATTCTCACTCATTTCCTTTCCCTTCCTGTTGTCATGGGGACTTCTTTTCCCTGAGTTATTACATCTTGCACTTCAGCAGAAATTGTATTGCTTCGGGACCATCGAGTCTCACGTGGGACATTTTTCACCGCTCGTGGTGTAATACACAGAGGTGATTTCTTTCAAATGATTTTTGCTTGAAGTGGTTTTCAATGAATTGAGAAGGGTAAGAGTATGAATGGAGGACCGAGTTTCGAGCCTCGGGTCCAGGCATGGAGCATCTCCCCTCAGCCTTGCCAGAGTGTTAAATGTGGGCTGTTCAGTTGCACTGATGGCACATAAATAGATAGCTATCCATTTTATTCTCTTGTTTGACCATGAAAGAAAAAAAACGAAAACATTATGTAATGCTATAATCTGTTTAAGTCTCTTCCAGATCACTTCTGAAAGTTTTATTTTATTTCTGAAATGGAATGTTGGAATGTTTTCATCAGAAGGGAATAGCTATTATTTCTCAAAGGTGGAGGTTAGTTGTTGCACTGGGGAAACGGTTAGACAAAGCAATCTCGAGGACAGGGTGGTGGAGTCTAAAATTATGCCCTGTGTGTTGCACAGGCAGCCTCTAATAGTTATCTATTTTCAGTGTTTTTCAAGGCTCTTGCATACATGGTGTTTTCTTTCCTCTTGTTACTTTGAGCTCAAACAGTGAGAAATTTGACACTAGAACACTTTCTTGGGTTCTTTGCTTCTTGTTTCATTTTATTCCTGTTCTTTCCTTTCCCTCTCTTCCTCTTTCCTTCTTCCTGTCCCCCCTTCATCCATCCCTCCCTCCCTTTCCCCTCCTCCCTTCCTCTCAGGATGGGGCCTCCAAAACCAGCTTCAGGTTCAATAATTCACTAGAAGGACTCAGAACTCAGAAAGGCTGTTATAGTTGCGGTTTATTACAGTGAAAGGATACACACTAAATTCAGCAAAGGAAAAGGACACGCTGGGCAGAGGCCAGGAGAAACCAGACCCGAGCTTCTGGTTGTGCCATCCCAGTGGAGCGGCACGGACAGTGCTAATTCTCCCAGCAGTGGTGTGTGACAAACGTGCTGAGTGTTGCCGATCAGGGAAGCTCTCTGAGGCTTGGAGTCCAGGAATTGTGTTGAAGGTCACTTGTGTAGGCCTGGAGTGCCCACATGACTGACCTTAGCCACTCGGTCTCCAGGTCCTCCACCCTCCAGAGGTCAAGCTGATATGGGCTGGCCCAGGGTCCCAGGAAAACAGAAACAGCTGCTCATTGTCGATCACATTGTTCGCATAAACTATTTGGTGTGGTCCAGTGTCTCAGTATACAGAGACACTCTCATCAGGCAGCATATTCCAAGGGCTCAGAGGTTATCTTCCAGCACATGGTCAAGGCCCAGTCCTTTCTTTGGAATGTGCACGGTTTGGGCACCCCACGCCTGCGGAGCAGACCCTTTAACGTGCGCTGCCATCCCAACACGACTCGAGGTCAGGCAAGTCCAAGCTGCTGGGAACGTAAAGATGCTTCCTTGTATTATATGCAAATCTGAGAACTTCCTTGGGACTAATAGAAGATTTACACTTCTCTCTTGGCCGTCCCACAGTGAGTAAACAATGTTTTTAGGACCTGCTTTGGAGGGAGAAACCTTTTCATAATGTTTCAAAGGAGCAGGGAGTGTAATCATTTTGCTGCACTTCCAATTGGCCTCTCCTGATCCAAGATTGGGATAGAGAAAGGTCACAGAATCCTTAAGCGATGTGACTAGAGATGGCCTGCCTTCTCTTGGAATCCAGGGAACATTTCAGTCACAGCAACTGGATCAGGCTTTCTGTTTTTCAAACTTATGTCTTTAAAACAAATATTGTAGTTTTGCCCCTCCTTTCGTCTTCCTCTCACTCCTCTCCCTGCCCTCCCAAACCCTAGGGACCAGGTGAGCATCAGGAAAAATTGCCAAGTGGGCCGTGCTTTTTGGAGGCACTTTACTTCGGCTACCTTTTTACATTGTATGAGTTCTTTCGACACACGTCTGCTCAAATCAATTGATATTCTCATCCTCACCGACTCATTTGATGAGCCACCTTGATATGTCATCTCTTAGGCTGACCCTTGTAACTCTGCAACCAAACCGTAGGAAATGCATGATTATTTTCATGCTAAGAAGCCCCGGAGAGCAACAGGTGTTTCCTTTTCTAGCTTTTCACAGTGACACCCATTGACCTTCAGCTGACATTCTGGGTGTCACAAAGGATGGTCAGAACCTGGGTGATCCCATGGAGCTCTTGACACCCTGAAGAAGCCTCAAGAAATGGCTTTGCCAATAGTCTTGTGCAGTCTCGACCGATCTAACAATAACAACAACAAAACCTCAAAGGCACCCCACTGCTTGAGTGGGATCAGTTAGATTTCTGGAGGGAGGCAGTGCAGCTGGGTTATCAGAAGCCGTGTGTTTTAATTGTTGGTCTTGCTCCTGCTCCTTTCTAGCTGTGAGACCTTGGGCCTGTCACCTACCCTCTCAGGCTTTCCGTTTTCTCATCAGTGACACGAGGGTAGCAATAGTAGCTACTTTCTGGCATAGTGATGCTGATTAGGAGGATAGAGCACAGAAGGCTTTTAGCAAGGTGGTTAGCACACGGTAAACAGCCGTACAATGGCAGTGTTATTATTGGCAACATTTGTAGTAATAATAAAAGTAATACATCCTGATGCAGCTGTGGATCACGACACCTACCTTGTAAATTTATGGGTGAAAGGTGCCTTCCCAATAGATGGTCTCTGAGATCCATCCCATGTAGGGAATTTCTAGAACCTTCTACCTAGGCTTCCTCTTCCTCTAGGATATGGGGAAATGGAGACAATGGATGACGTATTTTAGAGTTTATCAAGATGGAAGCACTGCATCTTATTGTTTAAAAAAAAATGGTGATGTGAGATACACTTTAATTATCTTTGGTTATTGTTATTATTAATTTTGAGGAAGATTAGCCCTGAGCAAACATCTGCCACCAATCTTCCTCTTTTTATTTTTGCAGAGGAAAACTGGCCCTGAGCTAACATCCATGTCCACCTTCCTCTACTTTATACATGGGACGCCTGCCACAGCAGGGCCTGGCAAGTGGTGTGTAGGTCTGTGCCTGGGATCCGAACTGGTGAACCCCAGGCCACTGAAGCAGAATGTGCGAACTTAACCACTGCACCACCGGGCTGGCCCCTCTTTGGTTATTATTTAACTGAGTAATCTTGACTCTCTCCATCCTGAACCTGAGTTCGGATAACTGGACTTGTTGGATAGTCTCCTCATCAAGCATCTTGGTGCAGGGTGACAGGGGAGTCACCTGTTTGCCAGTGGATGCTTTGTATGAGCTGACGCTGGACATCCCTCTGTATTTGGGGCTGTTTCCCCGTGTCCCCGAGTATCACGCCTGGTCACGGGCATTGCATGTTACAAAGCAGTGAGTGAAACTCTCTCAAATGGCTCAATTCTCTTGGTGCAGAAAGAAGCTATATGAGATTTTGACTTCATTCTAGGGTCCAGGGTTAAACATCATGGTGTTGAAAAAAGAGCAGTGGGCTGGAAGTCAGTTGGCTTGGATTCTGGTTCCTGTCTTGTCTCAAGTTTTTTGTATGAATTTTGGGAAAAAAATCACTTCCCACCTCTGGGTGTCAGCATCCCCCTCTGAGAAAGGGTGGGGAAGCGGGGGAGACCAGATTAGTGAACAGGTGAGTGCAGCAGTGTGCGTGTGAGTTAGGCTGGGTTCTTTGAGCTCAGAAGCACTGGGCAGTGGTGTGTAATGGGTTCTTGCAGGTTGCCTAAGTTCTAATCCTAGCTTGGCTGCTTACTGTCTGTGTGACCTTGGACAAATTACTTAACCTTTCTGTGCCTCAGTTTCCTCTTTTTTGAAATCTAGATACTCATAGTACCTATCTCATAGGGTTACTCTGAAGATTGAATGGGTTAAACAAATGTACTGTGCTTAGAATGGTAGCTGGCATGTATAATAAGTGCTACATGGATGATAGATTGTATTATTAAGTGTGTGAAGATTAAGTTCACTCCTACAAGGAAATGTGCTCTCTCTCAAAATTTTTTAAACCGTGCCTCTCTTGGTATGTCTTTATAGATGTTTATTTACTAAAAGAAAAGACACAGGGCCATGTAATCATAAATGGCAGCTGATGTATGGTGCTGCTGCAGGACTGCAATGGGACTGTGGCTGCTGGGAGATTTGGGGCCTCACCCAAAGACACAGCCCTGATTCCTTTCTGGCCCGTTGCTGCCCTTTGCACTGTGGGCTCAGTGTTGTCAGAGCTTATGTTTTGCAAGAAAAACCAGAGATATGAATTTTTATAGGAAATCTCCCGGGTCTTTTTTTTTTTTTTTGGTGAGGAAGATTAGCCCTGAGCTACCAGCTGTGCCAGTCTTCCTCTATTTTGTACGTGATTCGCTGCCTCAGCATGGCTGATGATTGGTGTAGGTCTGTGCCCAGGATCTGAACCTGTGAACCTGGGCCACTGAAGTGGAGTGCGTGGAACTTTAATCACTGTGCTGCGGGACTGGTCCCCTCCCCGTTTTTTAGATTGTTACAAATGTATAAAATCAGAGGATAGGCCAAACAAACCCATCTCTGCAGGATTCCCAGCCAGGTCTCAGAGACCTCCCTCCTCGTTTGTTGGAATGTGGACCCAGGCCCTCAGAGGGGCACAGCATGACTGTGAGCGTGTAGGCTTGGGGGAGAGCGAGGACTGGAAACCAGGCCCCTAACTCCCAAGCCCAGGGCTGCTTGCCATACAACCATTTACTCAACACATGTGGATTGTGTGCTTCTGTTCCTGGCACTGTATGAGGTGCCGGGGTACAGCGGGGCCCAGGAAGGGTGCAACTCTGCTCTCTGAAGGAATTTACAGTATGGTGGAGCACTCAGCCACAAGCAAGCGAACAATCCCAGGCCTTTCTGGTTTCCCTAGGAGGCCACAGCGAGTGTCACGAGCAGACCTGCATGATCAGGACAGGTGAGGTAGTGAGTTCAGATGGCCTTTCCCGTGTGACACAGATGTATACCAACAGAAGTCTTTGAGAGAGAGAGAGAGAGAGTGCTAGAAGCTGAAGGGGTCACCTGATGGTGGGGATTTCAGGCTTTGTTAAGGTGAGGTGAGGGGGCCAATGGCTACTTTGGCCCAGTGAAATTTTCTTGTGCGTCTTATGTCATTGCCCCTGGGACACCCATGCCAGGCTATGGAGGGCTGACCCTACCAAGAGCCTGTCTACAATGCAGTGTGCTTTGCGGATTCTGAACGAGCCGTTGGTTTAGAAAACCCCTAGCAGTGTAACTGATTCCCTAAGGTATTGCAATGAGTGCACTCCCGACATGCATGCACTGAAGAACTTGGCCACCAGCCCCTTGAGCTCTTGCAGAAGAAGTCTCATTCCAAGCCTAGGTAAGAAGCCAGCATGCTCCACCTGCCCCAACATTTAGGCCATCAGCACTACAGGACATAGTAGTCTACAGTGTTTGGATAAGTCGGGACTCTGTTGCAAGTGACATCCCCTTTACCCACAAAGGAATTTATTTCCTCAACTAACTGAAAAACCAACATTGTCCAGAGGTTTCAGGCCAAGCTGCACCTAGAGACTCAAAACCATCAGTGTTCTGTCTCTCTCCAGTTCTTTGCTGTGCTCTGTGCTGGCTTCCTTCTCAGGCAGGTGTCCCTTACGTGTGGCTGCCAATAGTTCCAGGCTTACTTGGAAATGGCCTGCTCACGGCAGAGGAAAGGGAATGCTGCTTTCTCAGTAGATTCAGTGGACGTTCCAAGACTGATTCTCATTGGCCCCAGTTGGGCTGCATCCCATAGCCCTGGGTCTCCTGCCACCCCTGGAGCTAGGGTGAAGGCGGCCTGCCCCAAACAACACAGACTAAGAAGAGGGAGGGATGTCCCCAAAGGAAAACTGGGGTACTGATTACTACAACATGGAAGAATAAAAGTTAGGCAGAGAGGCTCTGATGGGTCAAAGTCTTTGCCTAAGATCTTGGACCAGTTTAATTTCCTTAGTCACTAAGTTCAACTTCGCAGTGCTTCTCACAAAGGCCCCTCCGTCTCTCCTAGTCTAGGCTTTCATCCCTTCATGCCTCAGAGTTGTCTCCAAATAGGCCTTCTCATGGTGTCTGAGCAGAAATCAAAAGATATTTTCCAAGGCTGTCATGGTCACGGTTCTCCAGAGAAACAGAAACAATAGGAGACA